CAAGAAGAGCATGGAGCAGAGTACTTCAGGTCCTCTATGAAAACAAATTCCAGCCCAGACTACTATACCCTGCAAAACTCTCTTTCAAGTTTGATGGAGCAGTGAAATACTTGCATGACAAAGAACCGCTAAAGAATTTCGCGATGACAAAGTCAACCTTACACAGGCTACTGAAAGATGTTCTAGAGAGGGACCAAAATGATCAGAACTCCACGAAAGAGATCAGAAGCAACCAACTAAATAGGGTAAGCAATTAAACACACGAGAAAAAGAGGTAAACGATAACAGGTAAATAACATGTTAACCGTAAGTCAATACATCTGAATTCTAACCATTAATCTAAATGGACTCAATTCACCAATTAAGAGAAATATACTGGCACAGTGGATTAGGAAACAAAATCCAACAATATGCTGTATACAAGAAAAACATTTAACTCATAAATACATTCATAGGCTGAATGTCAAAGGATGGAACACAGTACTACATGTCCCAGCATCTCAGAAACAAGCAGGGTTAGCAATTCTGTTCTCAGACAGTCTCTACTTCAAACCAACAATGATCAAGCGAAATAAAGAATACCACTATATATTGGTTAGGGGAAAAATTCAAGAGGAAGAGGTAACACTCCTAAATATGTATGCACCAAACACAGGAGCACCCAACTATATAAAGCAAGTCTTAATGGACATAAAAAATCTAATATCCAATGCAACAATTTTAACAGGAGACCTTAACACACCCTTATCTCCAAAAGATAGGTCGACCAGACAAAAACGTAGCAAAGAAATAACAAAACTGAACCAGAGTTTGAAACAAATGGACTTGGTGGACATATACAGAGTGTTCCAACCAAACACAGCGGAATATACATTTTTCTCAGCTGCACATGGGTCATTTTCTGAAATAGACCACATACTGGTCCATAGATCAGGCTTAAGTATATGCAATAAAACAGAAATTATCCCATGCACATTATCTGACCACAGTGCAATGAAACTGAAAATAAATGACAAAAGAAACCAGAAAAAAACATTAAATACATGGAAATTAAATGACACCCTACT